AACTCTCTCAATTGTTTAAATTATTTGATATATATACACAAGATCTTTGAAAATTTTATTTTTAAAGTTTAAAAAATTGCAAAAATAATATCATTCGATGGAATTCCATTGCAATTTGTAAATACGCTTACCTAATAATCCAAGTTTAATCCAAGGTTACCACTGGTAGCACAACACTACCATAATGCCACGTTCGTTTCCTTATTGTTATACTCGATTATCGCGATCGCGATTACTTTAACGTGAAACTTAGGAAAAGCGACTGGATTTTGAACCTCGACGTAAGATGTTTGCTAGGCAAATCTCTAACTCCGTCTAGTGTCGGTCGGGGTTGGAGAAGCTTTATATAGCTCACCCCTTGAGGCCCTAAGCGTGCTTCTTAGGAAAAGTAGTGGGGAAACTATACAACCTGTTGGTTAAATGTCACGTGCCCATTCTATCATAGGCAATTTCCAAAACGTTTGAAATAACACACGATAACGCTTACGAAGGGGCATTTTCCCAGTCTTATTGCAATATGATTTATTTTATTTCCTAATATTTTCTTATATCTTTAACACATATATTTATTTTGCAAAACCTAAAAATTTATATACTGAAAGAAAAGATTCCCTTCTGTCTTTGCTAGAGACAAATAAGTGTGTGCCGTTTTCTTATTTTCTTTTTTATATAAATTATAAATATATAATATAATATAATAGATTATAATTAAAAAATCTAGTACCGCACACTTATGTTGTCCGCATGATTTGCTGCGTATACTATACCATGAAATATTAATGCGCGCAGAGGATTATCGATATTATATTTGGAAATCGATTAGATGATGCAACATGTTTATCAGAAACAATTGATTCAAGATGATAGCGACGAATAATTGAAAGAAAATACTTCGAGAGAGACACGCATGAAAGTTTATAATTAACTTCAAATTCAAATTAAATATCATGTCTAAGAAAAGAAAAAAATATATTATCTAAAAATATTAAATCTTTATAACTTGCTAAATAAAAATAAATTAATGTCATCTCCAGCGTGGAATTCACCGCAAAGTTGTTGAACACGGGCAACAGGACCCGGGGCACGTTCAGTCGCGGTCTTCACGGCGCACCGCCGTGGTACGCCGTGGAATCGGAGATCGACGCGGTGACCGCGGCGTGGAACGTGCACGCGACGAGGACGACGAGCAGCATGGCTCTCCAAAGTGTCGTAGACCCGACATATTGTCGCACGTGTTGGTGGTGTGTATTCGCGCGATTTCGAACCCCCCAATTCCTTCCGAACTGTTTCAAACGTATATTAAAGAATATTATGTATCTTATGTATATTTTGATTAATCGCTATGGCTAATGGAAACTAACGCATAAATTAAGCTTTTCAAGATATTAGCGTTTCTGAACATCGTATATCTGAACATCTAGATCTGAAGATAAGTATTCTTATCTAATATCTTTCCGTTCTTCTTCCCGAATTTCACATAAGAGTAGCGAGAGTTCACTATTATTTATATATCGTATATGACATCAGCTCTCTCCGATAAAATTAGTAAGAGTTTTTCTAAATCTATCTGTATCCATTTTAAGCTTGACGTTTTGTTACAAAGTATTTCCGCAAAATATCGATACATTCAAATGTATTGGAATCGACACACATTTAAAAATATAAACATCCAGTTAAGAAGAAAGCTACCAGAGCTAAGGGAGCTTACGCAATATTTATTAAATTGAATTAGATTATTAGAAATACGTGGTTTGCCAAGGCGAAGAATTGTACAAACAAAATTCACACGAATAATGTTATTAGTCAACTAAGTTCCAGTCCTGACCGTTTAACGGCGTTTTGCTTAATTTCATCGTATTTCATATACGGTCGTATCTCACTTATTTATTGTAGAACTTATATTACTTATATTACTTATATTTTTTTAAATATAAGTAAAAGTATATATTTTCTACCAGAGCTTGAAACAATATTCAGTTTTAATAAAATACGTAATTCGAGATATTTAATATATGCAATTTTCTCATGTTTTTGTTTGTCATGTGCATATGTAAATATTGTTTAAAATAACATTATAAAAATTTACATAGAATTAGCACATGTAGTACGCAAAAATAATGTTGCAAAATGATATAAAGTACAAGATGAAGATTCTTATTATTCTGAAACTAACATGATTTATGACCAAAAGGATTTCTGCTTGTCAACGTGATTGATGACCTGACGGATTAACTTTGTGTATTTTACGCAAAAATTATCAAACTTGACAAATAGGGTCGGCAGTGCTCAAAGGAAACTTTCAAAAGAAATTTTGAAACTTTTTCCCAAGGGAGCTATGAAAACGTAATTTCATTATAGTTTTTCGTGAAAAAATAGTTTTGTTTCGTAATATCAAGTCCATTTTTCATAGGATCTATTTTTCATACTTCTTTTGCATTTTATGGATCGTAAATCGTCACATCAGAAATTGATCCCTTTTACAACACGTCAATGTCAGAATATTTCAGAATATATTAAGAGAGAAGTAAATCACAGATCACAATTAAGAAAAAATGAATTAGATAAAAAATAAAAAATTCTCGCATTTTGAAACATATTCTATCTAATACTAATTAGATCAACAAGAATAACTACTTAAGAGACAGTTTCCAACATTAATAATAAACAGTAAATTGAACCGAACAAAAATCAATAAAAGTTTTAAATTGATAGCACATATTCACATATCTCTCTCGTTGCGAGAAACAATCGCAGTTTCGTATTATAAAGTTAATGGTTTTAACACATCTATATATCGTTGATCTTTTATCCGCGATTCTCATTAATGTTAAAAAAAGAGGATTGATAGACAAATAAGAAAATGATAAATAAAAATCCTCAGCGAAGGAATACAGTTATTCTCAATACGACGACGGCGACGTCTCATTATGTCGATGTCTTGCGATCACGCCAAATTTAGTCGTCCATTCTAGGCTCCAGTCGAAGCTTGTCATTCTTATAAAGGCACCCCCGCGTTCAATTCACCGCACCGCCTCCTTTCTTATGTATACAAATTTTTGCTCTTTTGGCTGCATAACCCACATTTCTATGGTGCCCGTGAAACGGCCGCAACCCGTTATTTGCGATTTTTCCCGTGATCGCCGGTCCCGGCGACGGATGAATGCGCTCACCATTTGCATCTGTCGCACGCTCACAGGCGTATAGGCAAACGTAACGGTATCGGATGGACGCCGCATATCCACCCCATCGCTTTCCTCGAAACGTCTGGGTCGTGAATAGCCAGATGCACCGTTGACGTCGTTGATAGTTTTCTCAGGATATCTCGCTGAAATGGACATCATACTTTCTTAGATCTTTTAATGCTTACGATGCTATCGCTAGCAAATAAATTGCGTCTATAAAAATACTTCAGCAATCTATGATGCATTAGATTTAGGCATTTTTATTCTTAATACTTTCAAGAGAGGATCCGATAATTCTCGAATATAATAATGTACGTTGTATTGTATACTATATACTATACGTCGTATGTTATATTGTTACCAAATACAAATTCCATAAGATAACTGCGTGCTTCAGTCACGTAATGTTTACGTGATCCGTCGTTATCACTCGTTCATGGGCTGATCGACGCAATCGTGGCTCGCGATGTTGACTCATTTCTGATCCATTGTTGACTTTCTAATTAATCTGTAATATTAATTGACAGAAATAAATGACAGATCAAAATTTCAACCCAATATTCACATTTTTTAATTTGCATTCTATTTATCTTTTTAATCGAAGTTTTAAAATATAAATATTAATAAAAATTTACGTTGACACAAAAGATTTGTCAAATTTCTAATTCGTATTCATATGATCAAAATTAAATAAGAGACTTATATTACTTATATATCACATGTAGAGCGAGAAAAATTATACAATAAAAATTATATCTCTTTGTGCTTCGCGAACATTCAACGTTGAAAGAACTATCTACAGTTTTCGGCCTTTTGATGCTAGTAAAGTGATTATCTTTGAGCTTGAATCAATCGGTTCTTACGTAAAAGTAAAAATTAGATGTATCTCATGTTTGCTTTTGATAATCTGATTTGTTTACATTTCAAGAGAAAAGTCGGAACAAAAAATTTATACAATTAATTAGAGAAGAAACGTGGGCTATATGGCTCTAGGGATATATTGCTCATGTGCATTTTCTGGTATTTATCTTGAGAAGAACGATAGATAAAAAATCGCGAAATTATATTTTTAGAATCTAAAAGAATCATTTCGAGTTATTTTATCCACTAATCCTTTCAAAATAACCTTTTTCCAACTCAGTACATTGCGCGCCGATTGTTGGTCTTAAAATTCAGTTTTTGTTGGAATACTAAATCCTAAGCTTAAATAAATAATCGATTTAATGAGGCATGCGAGACACATGCCTCAGTGGTCGAATTGGTAAAGATGCTTATCACGAATTGTGGCGAGATCCCGATTCGAAATCTGGCTGGAATAATATTTTTCGCAATAAATTCTTTACAGTAAAGTAATTTAATTTAAGAAAGATACTTATACTAACATAAAAAATTAAATCGATTATCGATTTATGTGGATTTACGAAAACTACAGTGTTTAAAGACCGACAAATAATCTGCACGCAGTTTGCTGAGATGAAAAAAGTACACAAATTTTAATATTTGGCTACCAAGATCCAGCCCGATCAAAAATGGCAACTTCTCTAATTCAAAATTCATATCGGTCCAGTTTCACTTATTAAAAAATTTATAATTTATAAATTCAATTTCTCAAATACAAATTAAGTTAAATTTAAAATGAATTATAAATTTACCACATTTTTTCCCTATATATCTTTCATTTATACGCGAATATTATTTATACGAATCTTGTTTATAATGATCACATAATTATCGTTATTAATAAGTAATGTTACCAAAGCGCGAATATATAATTTTTGTTGTACTACTTCCTGTTTAATATTATTTATACGCAATATTTTGTTAAATTATTTTACTTAAAAGTATAAAAAGCCAATTAGCGAGAACATTATATAGAAGTAACAATTTGTAATAATAATGCATACAATGCAAAAATACATTAATCGTTGAAGGCGTGGTCTCTCAGGTTGGTCATTATCCTCGCAGACTACTCTATTCTTTAGTGACCTTTAATATTTTTTTCTTTCATATTTAAATTAGTTTGTTTTTCGACTTTTCGGAACTTTTGATCTATATTTAAAAGAAGAAATTTGAAACTGGCCTCATTATCACAAAGAGTCACAGAAGGGGAAGGGGTGAATAGGTAATTTATTTTCGATTTATCTTTCTTGCCACCGAAACTTACAATTAGTTATTCAAGATCTACCTTACTTTCAACGGTGCCTTCATGCGTTTATTTTCCGAACATTCTTTCGTTATTCGTTTTCTTATTACGTCTGGCGACACGCCCTCGCACTTCGAAGATGGACTTTACTTCTGAAAATGCTCTTTGTTCGGTCGATGAAGATGGATCTCCGCGGCATGTGAATATTGGGCGTACCCGAAACGTTATACTCTCTTTAAGATGTACTTCGCGATATATTAGCACATATTGAGAATATTATTTACGTTGAGAGACCTGCCCAGAAATTTAAAGACTTATAAAAATTATTATACAATAACAGCGAATTTCATTTAATGCTTAGTAATTGATTTTATGAAAGATTTTTATATTGTCATCTATATTTTCATAAGCATCCCCGCAAAATTAAACTCGCCAATATTGATAAAAGTATTAATTTATGAATTAAATAATTTGACCAAAAATTATATGTATAAAATAGCGGGGCACAGCTGGGCATATGTGACATAAAAAGAAATACTTGTGATGTGAGGAAAAGGAAATAGTCGAATTGCAGAATTTTCGGAGGGCAAAGATTACCCGGTGTCAGGTTACTAAGCCGCGCGGCAAAGAGTTAAGGCACAATCGTACGACAGCATGGAAAATGTTTACTCCATTTGTTTGAGAGGCTTTTGAAAGCATCGTTGGTTATTTGAGGACTCGTGTATTGTAAATTTTCTTTCGATTTTGTTGGATCAACACGACGATTTAACTCAAAGATTCTTTGTGCGCGCCCTTATTTGAAACATTTTCGTATTTCAAGCAGACTTTTATCTCGAATACACATTCTCGCATTTATTTAGGATGCCTGTCTAATTATGCAGAATTTCGGATCTATTGTTACTAAATTCTAAATGAATCGCATTTTGCGATTCACGTCAGTGACGAATGTTGACCGATGTCATGCCGATGACCGATGAAGTGCTCGGGACAATAACGCAATTTTACTTTGTTGTGTGTTAGTTAAAAGTATTGCTAAGAAGTTAACTATTGCTAAGAATCATTAATCACAGGTGACCATGTAATTTAGTCTTTTAAATATGTTCGTAAAATAACCAAATATCTTGTGTAATACTTAAACCTCAAGGGCAGTTATGAACTATTCTTAATAATGTATCTTTCCGACCTTCATCGAAAGCCATTAAGAATGTATTAAAAATGTTTTAATTATACATGTATAATACTAATGCTCAGATTTTATACTATTTATATTCTTTTTCTTACTTTTACTATCATTACCTGCTGTTTAAATTGACCAAGCGGCGTTTGTAGCCCTCAAATGTAAAAAAAAAAAAGGAGTTCGCACATTTACTATTTGCGAATATGCACCGTCAGCAAATATTTAATTTGGCTGATTTTTACCTGGCGATTCGATACACGTAAAAAGAGAATTATTATTATTATTATTACTTTTTTCAAAGGAAAGAAGTCGTTAGAATTCAGGCCAAAGTTAACGTTAGTTAGTGTAACTTGTAGTGCAACAAAAATATGTAAAGAACGTTTCCAACAATTTCGACAGTAAAAAAAGGGATAATTAATAATGCTGAATAGAAACCTTTTTTATGCTGATATAAACTATAATAAAATATGAATAAAAAATATAAAGAGCTTGAATGATTTTCATGATTCTATAATTTAAAAAAATTGCGTTAGTAGTTCAACGAATGCCTGCATAAATATCCGTAATTAACACACAATGACGTCAACTGTATTTTCCGCAAAATAGAAAGGACAGATATTACGGAAATGTAATGAAACATTCTGGTATATGTATGCCTCGTGGCGCTATTATTATCCCCTGGGATAGCCTCTCTTGGGATATTCTACAACAGGTTCTCATTTTCACATAATATATCTGATTAAAAATATCCAAATTAAAAGAAGAACGAATATAAAGAAAAATCTCTTTCAGACATTTTCTTTTAAATAATTTCGATATTTATGTAATATTAAAGAAACCTGCGCATTTACAATACAAAAATTATTTTATGTATTTTTAAGTGTAATGTAAATTCGATTGGACGATCAAAATGCAACTTTCATGCATAGTACTTTAAACAAATTTATATAAGTATCTTTTTTCGCTTCTAAAGGTTTCAGGTTGAGAGCCGATCTTTTCCAAATATCGAGATATTGGTCAGCATGTCATATGGTTGTTGGTCGATGGCCGCGTGGGCGAAGGTTGCAGATGCGCGACGGCCAACCCCTCCGTAATAATGTTGGAAAAGCGGATGCTGTGTCACAACCCTTTTCTCATTCCCCATCCCGATAGCGGAGCCATTGTCCATCCACCGTTACAATAACGAGCCAGGTAACGGTAAATGCGCAGTGGGACTCCGAAAGTGTGTCAAAGGACCGCAATTTTCAGCACTAATCTCTAAACCGTGACGTCCCGAAAATTGCTTTCGACGTCGCGCTCACGCGGGTGACCTATGTTGATCGATTGTGCAAAATCGAAACATCTTGATCATCACACTCTCAATAATATCTTTAATACGCATTAAAAATTCGTACTTAAGATTCAGAAAATTCTCGTAAATATTATAGTCATTCCTTGATACGATCAACATAATGCATTCCCATAAATTTATTATTAAATGTCAAATTTTCCAAATCGTAAAATTTTCAAGGAATAAGATAACTTCATATCGTATCTTATCAGGGATATACCCCGTCATTTCCGTGCTGTTCGATGATTACGCAACGACGCATTTTCAAAATTAGAAATGCGGTTTTTGTGTCTGAAACTGATTTTTATGGTACAGTTGATGTATTCTTTACAGAAATTACCTCAATTTTGTCAAACACACAGTCAAATGCAGTGTTGGTGACAATTAATAATTATAAACTAATTGTTCTTAGATACATGTGGCAAATCGTATTTTCCACGCACGCATTTTATCTTAACGCCAGGTGTATCTCGCAGTCGTCCATTCCTGCAGAGCACTATATTATGTTCCTGTAGATTGTGGCCCATTCCTGAAATAATTTAATCCATGTAAACTTTTTAACGCGGACTACGCGACGCCCCAAGTTTCTAAACGGTAATAACTTGCTTATCGAATGCAGTATTGCTGCAAGCACGAATTATGAATCTTACCGGGAACATATGCCGTCATTTCTTTGCCGTTCGATAATCTCACAACGACGCATTTTCGATTTGCGGAGTTAGGCTTCTTTGGCTTTTTAATGACGGTTTTTAAAACTACGCCCTTCATAAATGGTTGGCCATCGAAAGGATTCTTCGACGGTCTGCGAGGTTTGTACGATCCACCTCTCCTATGCATTTGCCATAATGTGCTTCCAAATCTGATCTGTCCCAATCCTGTGGATCAGTATAAATAATCAATCGTAATCGAAGAGGTGAAATATATAATTTAGGCAAAAAATAGAGCTATGGACCGTATTGTGACTATTGAAAAATACTTCTACAATTTTTTTATGTCTATTTTCATTTTCAAATATAAGCGTTACTGATTTTAATAATTATTTCGCACAAATTTCCACAATTTTGAAATTATACAAAAGCAGCACCGATTATTAATATATTGTTAGAAATCTAGATCAGTGATCACGCAGATTTTTGTGTCAATGACCCGTCGTTATTAAGACGTGAGCGGCAAGGAGAGAATAATGTGCGTCGACACGAAAATCTGACCGAAAACTGCATCTGATGCCAACTTCCAATCTAGAAATCTAGATGATAAGCATAACTGTTTTCCCTTTGGAGAAATATTTACGAGATGAATAAAATAATAATTAAATAACATCGAGAAATACTTCAGGTAGAACGATGTAACGAATTGCGAAATATCCAGATATTTTCTTAGAGTTATTATGAACGAAAAGATGAAAGAATGGAATTGGCAGTGGAATGCTAGAGAACCTAAACTTTTGCAAACAACCTAACAATGAACCTGAGAAAGGAACAAAAAAGCCTTTTCTCTGATTACACTAAGAAATAATGAAGAATGAATATGCAATTATTTTCAAAGGAACAGCTTTCTTTCAAACGTGCACACATGAAATAATATGATTATCTATATGGCAAATAGAAATCAGAAGGGACAAAATTTTCTTGACGTCTTTTATCATTAATTGTAAAAAATATCAGTAAAAATAAAAATAATCTCACTCGTGTATCATTATATAATTTTAATAACACTGTTATGTCAATTAAAGTCATGACAAATTTATTCGTGGTTCATAGTTGTTCTAATATAATTCTTGCAAATTTAATCCATGTGATTTTAAAAATTGATTTAACTTTTCAAAAAATGTGCATCAGGTTAACTTGAAAAACTTTATATAGAATATAATGAATCTTTAAATTTCATATAATCATATATAAACATATTATTTTATAATTATTGATCTTTTTTTATCGTTTTTTCTTTAATAAATTTAAGACATTTGCTTTTAGCGCGCAACATCATCGGTATGTTTGACAAAATAAAATACCTTCGGAAAAAGAATATCGTGATATTTGTCAAATTCTCACGTATTCAAAAGATTACCTAAAACGAGTATCGTATGACAGCACACTTTGCAACAGGGATGCTCGTTACGAAGTGATCAGTTTTCGAAGATGAAAGCTCCGGAGGTGACGTGACAATTTTAGAGTTGCATTTACGGAGCCGTGACATCCCGCGATTAACCAAGGCCGAAAGAATGTTACCATTGTTGATCACTTCGACTGACCACCGTCCGTCAATACGACAGATGTCCGGCAGTCCATAGTGACTAATCCGTCCTAACTCCTCCTACGTTAGGAAAGGCTATTATGTTCGAAAGGCAAACCCTTTTCTCATAGATGAATGCGCAAGATTATATTGCGAAAGTTTTGGACGTCGGTTGCACTTTGTTGCATCGTTAGAATGTCGCAAATCCTTCTCTTTTCCCCAAAAGATTGTCTTCTTACGATTTTGCGACTAAAGAAATGCGGACGGACATAAGAATTCGTCTCTTCATCTCTAGACGTAAGAATTATATCATAAAATTTGGAACTAATAATTAATATTTGTGGTACGGTGAATTAGTATTTGTTACATCAAATTAATTTGAATTGCGTTTGATAGCCAAAATTTGAATATAAAGTATTTGAATGCAAAGTATCTGTAAGGTCAACATAGGCGACATGAGACTTGAATTCTTCATTAAAAATTAATCTATCTCATGCAGTTTGAAGAAGAAAATATATATTATTTTTCTTTTTATTTGTGCAATTTCCTTTCTGCAAAATGTTTGCATGCGATTTAGCATGAAATAATTCATGAGCACGAATAAAAAGTTGAAATAGATAAAAATATTAAAAATAGTTGATTTTCGTAATGCAGAAGCTTCAAATGATTAAATTAACGAAACGCAGGATCTTTAATTCTGATAAGGCGTTGTTTGCGAACGCACTCTCACGAATGCTCTCATGAATGGGTCATGGACCTAACCCGCCATTTGTAGGGTTGCGAGAAAAGCGGAAAGGGGGAAACCAGGCGAGCATCGGGTCCCACAGTGACAACTGGTCAACCGCAAATGGACACGTCACACCCCTCAATTCCCAGCGATTTTCGCTAGTGGTCACAAGGGCATCGTCTTTACGCAGCGCGAGCCCTTTCTTGCCAAGTGGACGAATAGAATCCCTTTTGGTATTTTGGAGATCTCTGTCCACGGGGATCAAAGAGGTGAGGGCTGCGCGTATTTTCGCAGCGCAGAAGAATGCCAGACGCGATGGGAAATCTAGCCAACTTCCTCGATATTCGACCACTTCTTTTGCAGAATCCAGATCCGAGCAGAAAATCGCGGAGATACGTATCTATAGGCGATTATAGATGGTTCGGAGAGGACCAATCTAGTCACAACGCATAAGAAATATATATACCTCTAACGTTTCACTCAATTTCACGTAAATAAGTCATCAAACTACTAATCTTGATTTTTACTTTCACGTCTTTTACGTGGATTAAGAGATTCAGGCGCGTTTAATTTAAATTCATACTTTTCATATAATTCAAAGCATACGTATTTAGTTTAACAAATAAAATAACTAATTAATCTACTATGATAAACATTTAAAATATTACACATGATTAAAAAGTCATAATTAGAAAAAATTTAAACAGATATATATTGTAATTATTCGGACAATAATTTTAAATAATTAAAAATAACAATTGTAATACTAAAACTAAATTTTTATGAAAAAAGTTGTCGCAAAGTATTATCTAAAAACAAGAACGTGTGTTGTATACGCAGAAAAAAGAATATTCTTGATTTGAAAATATCTTTAGTTTCAGAAAAGTATATGAATGAAGTCATTTATATAGTTCAACCAAGAAGAAAATGTTGAAATAAAAAGTTGAAATTCTTATAAAAAGATTATAGATTGTTTCGTATATAAGCAAGAGCACTGTAATCTTCTTATAAGAGTTTCAGCATTTTTTTCTTGGTTGAACTATATAAATGACTTTATTCAAGCAAGTTTTCTTCGTTTAACGCAATATAATCACATTTCAAGATTTCCACGTTGAAACTGAAGATAATTTCAAATCAAGAATACTCTTTTTTTCTATATAGGCATAAAATAAACATTACATTTAGGGGTGAGATTATTAACAAGATGTTTAACATATGAAGGGTACAGGGGAAAACCGATCCAAGTCCTCTTTTTGTCGAAATCATGGGTCTGTTTTCTGTTACTGAACTGGCTACACTAGTTCAGAGTTTATCTTTTTTACTCCACATTGGAAGGAAAAAGATAAACTCTGAACTAGTGCAGCCAGTTCAATAACACAGAAAACAGACCCCCATGTTATCTTGTGGCATTTTCAAAGAACTTTCATAATTCTTATCTGTTTAAAGAACAAACATTTACAATTCATTGGAAATAAGGCTGAAACATGTGCTGGGAAAAACGATTATAATCCACTCGCTTATGAAGAAAAGCCATAATATTAAACATACATTGTAAACACTAATTGTAAGTAAACACCCACACACATGCTGATATTCACTGCCACAGTATTATTTTTTCAATAACTCCCCAGATGATATCTGGGGATATCAGATATCAGAAGACATCTGAGGTCTTGAAACTTAAAATTGCGTTTTTCTCAAATTACTCCAGATGGATATCGGTTGTTTTTC